TTTGATATATATGGGGACAAGTGACTATTTTTATGAAGGTTTGGAGAAGGCCTAGCCAACCTCCATCACTCTGTCCCTTGACTCGGCTTTATTTTTCTTCTGAGTATATTGTTTATTGGTTTATCTATTTGCTGTTGTTGGTCTCTTGCTACTAGAATGTAAGCTCCTTGGTATTTGGGACTCTTATCTGTTTTGTTAGAGTGATGCCCAGAACAGAGTAGGTGGCCAATAATTATTTACTATTGAATGAAAAAGGAAAATGAGCTTTCATTGGTATGGGTGCGATGAAGTTTGTTAAGACATTTTTGATAAAAGACGTGTTAGACGCTGGTATGGGTAAGGGTCAAGTTGCTCAGTCTCAGTGAGCACGTATAGATCTCAGGTGGAAGCCCATAGTCAGCAACAAGGATATACGAAGAAAAGGAATGAAACAGGAAAAGATGGGAAGGGATTCATTCACAATTGCTCTTTCCATCCATATTTATTGGGCACTATCTGTCTTAGTACACGGTAGAGGACATGCTGGTTTGATTCAATGCGCTACCATGTAGAGGAAAGAGCAAAGGGGGTTCAGAAACTGAAAAGAATTTAGAAGAAACAGGACTGAAGAAGCTCTCTGTAGGATATTTCTAAGGGCCTGGCCTTCTTTCTGAAGCATCTGTGTGAGTGATTTGTGGTATGTGTTAGGGAAAAGGATTACAGGAAGTTTCACACTAGAGAGACCTGGAGAGAATTTGACTCTGTTGCCAAGTTTTTAGAGTCAAAGAGGGCAAAGCTAATGTTTTCTACTGATGCAGGTCATCAAATGTCATCCGGAAATGGAGAGCAGCTTTGATTAAAAAAAAATAGAGAAAGAAAGAAAACAAATTCACATTTATATAAAAATTAGCTTCCTGAGGGTGAATTTCTGGAAAGTGGCAAGGTTTAGAAAACCTGAGAGAAAAAAATAAATAGAATAAGTTATCTTGGGGTTGGGGGATGTGGATGGTGGAGTTGGGTGCTGTGTATTCAGCTAGTAGTTGAAGCAGAATTCTTTGTCCAGTGAATCACTGTTTTCTCCATCAAAGATGAACTATCAGCCAGACCTGAAAAGGGTTCAAGGATCCCAACAGTCCCAAGAAGAAATGTGCCCACTGTTGCTTCTTTGCCTCAAAGTCCCTCTTCTACCCTTGTCTACGGAGTTGCATTTCCTTGTCTGTGGGGCAGGGTGAGGCTAGGGTCTGAAGGCTGGAATCAGAATAGACATTCCTGACTCCCACACAGCCATGTCTTTCTCTTTCTTTTGGTGTCAGAACTCTAGGGGACCAAATCGCAGGCTGGCATTTCTGGCCTTGCCTGAAACTCTCTGTGCTGTTCTAAAAAATAATATCACTGTTATGTAAGTGATATAAGTCAAGCCAGGAACATGCAGCCCAGGGAAGAAGTACATTTTATGTTTTGATTTCTTCTTTTCTTTTGGCAAAGACTCGTTGTTCCCATCCCTGCTAGGGCAGAACTGAAGTCCACTTGGTGTGGAGTGGGGAGGGGACCATTCTGCTTGACCACATTTTAGCCTGGTGCCTGTTTCAGATCAGACAAGCCACTGTGGGAAAGCACAGTGTGGGTAAGCCCAGGCTTGCACAAATGAAGTGCTCCAGCCCCCGTGCTGGCTCCCATGAGATTTTCAGCCAGTGCTAGGTCTCCTTAGTGACCTGGATTATAGATTTGATGAGACCTCACTGGATCACATGGTGCATAGAGTCCTGTTGAAGTTAGGGGTGAGTCTAAACAGAGGGAATAGTTTTTGCCTAGTAGAGGTTACATGTAGTGTCGAACAGGTTATGGGACTGGTATTATTTGTGAGATCAGCCTTCTTCCAACTACCCAGGGTGGAAAAATTAGTCATTTAAAAATTTCTCCCCTTTCTTTATGCCCTAGATAGAAGCAATCACCAAATCCCAATCAAGGATCCCAATGGTCCCAAGACGAACTGTGCCCACTGTTCCTTCTTTGTCTGTTGTCTACAGGGTTACATTTCCTTGTCTGTGGGGTGGAGTGTGACTGGGGTCTGGAGTCTGGAATCAGGTTGCATGTATTTCTTTAAGACCAATCCCTCCCAGTGATTCCTACCTTCCCTTTCCATGTCCTACCATCTCCATGGTGCAGCTCAGGGGCTGGGAGGCAGCTGGAGGAAGCTGAGCATGGACTCTGGAGAAAGACATTCAGAATGTGCATTTTGGCTTTGTCACGTGACTTGGACAAGCTAAACTCTCTGTCCCTCAAGCTATTTTTATAAAATGGGATTGATAACACTGCTTACTTTTCACGGACGAATAAGATTGTAAAGATTAAATGAAAGGTCATTTATAAAAACACAGGTGACTAAACAGTGTGTTCCTTTAGATACACCAATCAGTAGAAAAGTGTTTATAAGGATATGCACCCAAATGTTGATGGTGTTTTTATATTGAGGTGGTAGGCTTTATGGTTTTTTTTTAACTTGTATGTTTGTGCTTTTCTATATTTTTAAAATGTCTACAATTAAAATGTATTACTTTTGTACTAAGAATCACACATATAAATTAAAATTCCACCAAACCGTTAAGCTGAGATGATACTTCTTTTGTTAAAACTTTCCAAATGTTGCCATTGACAAAGATCCCTTTCTGAGCAAGTTACTGAGTTACTTTGAGATGGAGATGCTCACCTGTAAAATGGGGGTAATAAACTTCAAATGGAAAAAAATATATGCACTATTATGTATTTGTAATATGCATGTTATAAATATACTCACACATATACACTATTATCCTTCCCTCCTCCTCTCTCTGGGACTTAGAGATGCCTGAGCAATGAAAGTGCTTAATAAATGCAGTTTTCTTTTTCTGAACACCAGAAACACTGACTGTAGCACTTACTGTGTTTTGCTTTGTATCATGGCTGTTTGTGAACTTCCTATATCTGCTACTAGATTATAAGCCCAGTGAAGGTAACAGCTACTGTGTCCTATTCACCTTTTACTACACAGGGCTTAAAGTCTCTTTTACAGTAGCTGCCAAATACACTTGTTGAAAGCCTAAGTAAAGGAAGAGGCCCTAGAAGTATAAAGACATGCTCCCTTAGGGTCTCAGTTATACACAGTCTGACACTGGGCCTGCCTGTGTATTTGCTTAACAAATATTTGTTGATCAGATGGGCATATGTGGCAGCAAGGAACCAGGGTTCTTGTGAGGGAAGCTGGAAACCAGGTGAGCATGCTTGGCCCAGTGATGGCGCCACAGGTATCTGGGAGGAGGTTGGTTCTCTGAAGTGGATGGAGTTTGAAACTCAGACAGCTGTCCAGGGCCATTCCCGCCCCACTACAAGCACCTGCCCCCTGACTTCTAAGGAGAGGGAAGGGGGACTGCAGCTGAAAGAGACAATGAAGGAAATGCAATTGAAAGAGGGCTGGGATAAAAGTCTTAAGAGACCGAGGAGGAGCAGACAGTCCTGTTTTGGCAACAGGTCGCGGGGAGTGATTCTCCTCAGACTGGGCTGCATCATCACTGACCTCCAGCCCTGTTGGTGACGTTGCTCCGAAGGAGCATCAGGCATCCAAGAGCAGAGCCAGAACACATTCATGGAGCTTTACAAACTTAGAGCAGAAGTGAAGGGGCCCCATAGTAGCGGAGAGGCCTGGGCAATATGGCAGTGGGCAAGCACTTTCTAAGAACTCCCAGTTATGAGGGACTTTACCTGGTAAATGGATATTTTGATAGATTAAATAGAAGTTGGCAGAATCTGAGTAATGCGGATTATCCTATTATTATGGTGCTCTTTTCCCCTTGGCTAATGCAACCCAAGAAACAAGTGACCTATATTACTATATGCATTCATGGAGTGAAGAAAGAGTCTGAAAGAGAGAAGAAATGCAGAGAGGATAATGACTCATTGACAGAACAGGTGTGCCAACTGAGACACGGAAAGAATGTAGGTGAGCCCTAGATTTTACTGTAGTATACCTGGCGACTTTTGCTCAGGAAATCATGGTGGGACAACATGGGTGGGATATACTTCGTAAGACCAAAGAAGAATTAAAAAAAAAAAAAAAACTAAAACAAATATCTGAGTAGAATAAGACAGGAATGAAGGAGGTGTTACAGAAGACATAGACAAAAAATATTTTTTGAGAATTTTCTAGATTTCATCACTGTTTCACATAGATTGTTTCTTCTGATTCTGTGACAACACTGTGAAGTGGGTAGAATATCACAGTCCTGTTTTATAGATGAGCAAAAACATTGGGGGAGGGGCGGGTAAAGGAATTGTCCAGAGTAAGTGGCAGGTGGGGAATTGAACCTAGGTTTGTATACTGCAGATCTCTTACTCTTGTGCTATTGCCCTAATGAGCAGTGACATTTTGTACCTTCTCTCTCATTTTATCTCTTTTATATAAAACATTTTATTTATTTTTTTAAATCTTTTTATTTATTTATTTTTTTTAATTTTTATTTATTTATGATAGTCACACAGAGGGGGGGCAGAGACACAGGCAGAGGGAGAAGCAGACTCCATGCACCAGGAGCCCGACGTGGGATTCGATCCCGGGTCTCCAGGATCGCGCCCTGGGCCAAAGGCAGGTGCTAAACCGCTGCGCCACCCAGGGATCCCTATAAAACATTTTATATCTTATATACATCATATATCTTAGATCTCACCAATCTATCAAAAAATCTCCATGTGACTCTGATAGAAATAGAACGTCCACTTTTCCTGAGAGTGACATTTGTAGAGTCGTAGGCTGTTTCTCTATGATTTCCAATAAAGCTTATGGACATAAAATTTTTCAAGAGTATTATTGGAAATAAATTTAAGGTGATATTTTAGTTGTTATTCTGAACACCTTGCATCCACTTTGACTTTGTGTCCCACTGATGACACCTGCCATTTCCATAGGGGGTTCAGAAGACGGCTGACCACCTGGTGTAGAGGCAGGGGCACTTCTGGAAGGTGATGGAGGAAAACCTTAGAAAGCTCAGGTGGTGCTCGCTTCAACAGCACATTTACTACAATTAGAATGATCTAGAGAGGCTGAGTGTGGCCCCTGTACGAAGATGACCTGTAAATTCATGAAGCATTCTATGTTAAAAAAAAAAAAAAAAGAAAAGAAAGAAAGAAAGCCTGGATGGCTGTGGCTGTGCTGGGCATGGCGATGCACTGCCAAGGTCCCTTTGGAAGGAGGATTTGTTGCCCTCGGTTCTGGGAGGGATGTCGGGAAACAGTCTCCAGCAGTCAGCCCCTTTGGGAGCTGCCTCACTCAAGGGCACACATTCCAAGGGATTGCCCACTTCTAATGACCTATCAAGGCAGAGGATAAAAGTGCAGCTATTTGGGCCCATTCAGGGGGGCCAATAACTCTGAGGGGTTATTTGCTCCAACATTCCCAGTGGAATCAGCTGAGGCTGCTGGACCTGCATCTCCCTGTGCCCACACTGCTTCCCTTCTCTCCCTTCCAGAAGTGTGGATCCCAGAAGCATTCCCTATTTCACATCCTGAACCCTAAACTCTTCCTCCTACTTCCTGGAGAGCTTGAACTGTAACAGTTCAACTTATCTATGCTTTCTTTTGGAGCAACAGTTGGTAATTTTCCATAAAGGGCCAGCTAGTCCATATCTTAGCCCTCGCAGTCCAACCTCGCCTTTGTAGTGTGAAAGCGGCCACAGATAAGATGTGGATAAATGAGCATGGCTGTGCTCCAATAAAACTTTATTTACCAAAAAAGTGCTTGGCTGGATTTGGCCTGTGGCTATAGTTGCCAGAGAATTACTGATTACTGAGGATTATTGATTCATCTCAGAAGATTGGAGAATTCTGGAGAATCCCCGATTAATTTCTTCATGCCCAATATTGCGTAAGTTTCAAAGTAATCATTAGTGTGCGTAGTGAGTGCTGAATGCTGGATAAAGCAGTAGGATACACTCTTAACAGAGCTCGCAGCCCACAAATACAGTTTCAGCATAAGACAGATTTATGATCTAATTGCTATAAGGTACTTTTAGAGGTTGTCTTCTGCTCTAGGCAGAGCTGTTCCCCTTCAGCCTGGTTCATTAGCGACTTGGCATGCCCTTCTCAGGATCCATGGAGATGGAGAAAGAAGACTCCCAAAGGGAAGACCGAGAGAAGGAAAGGGCCAAAGGCTTTGCCAGCACTTTTGCATATGTTATTTCGCTTCCTTCACACAAACTGTGGGTATTAGTGTTCCTGATCTGCGTTGGGAGGGATTCCTCAGAGACGGTAAGGAGTCTGGTCTGCAGGGCTTGTAAACAGCAGAACTGGTTTTAAGCCCAGGGATGTGGGACTCCAGAGACCATGGCCTTTCCATTCCCCCCAGGCTGACCTATCAGCTCGGCCTTGGATTGGGGATAGTTCCTCCTTAAACCTGATCATTTCTGCCTGCGAGGGCTTGGCACAAAGAGCTGCATCCTGGACCAGCTTTCATGGCTCCGTTCCTGGGGTTCATTGGAGGCTGCGTTTCCACATTCTTGCCGTTGGCCAGCCCTGGGCCATGGCATCTGATGAGTTGAGGCTTTTGGATGCCGGGGCCCGGCTGGGTGGTGCTGGCTTTGAAGTTCACTTTCAATCCTTGCAGGTATGAGCATGGTGGGGGCCGCGCACCAGGCCCTATCGCCTTCCTTCTGTCAGGCAGCTGTCATCACCCCACAGGGCTTTTCTTCACAGCCTGTTGCCAGGAAGCTGGCCAACTCCTCGGGAAGGTGAGAGAGGAAATTAGGAGGCTGGGGGCTGGAGGGAATCACGCCATCGTGCTCGTACCTTAGGGCTGATGGCAATAACACTGCTCTGGCATCTGGAGACCTGGCCCTAGCCCAGGCCCCGCTGCACATCAGCAGCGTGGGCCTGGGTGAGCCCTGCAATGTCTTTGAAGTGCTCTTCTCAGCCATGTAAGGAGGATCAATGTTCTAGCTCGCCCACCTACTGCCTGGTGCTGTTGTAGCTCGACCTGAGTGACATGTGGAAGACAGCAGCTGGAGAGGAAGCCGGGGCCTAGTCCAGTGGTTCTCTCCTGTCAGGATGCTAGAACCACCTGGAGGGCTTGTTAAAACAAGAGTCCTGGGGCCACTGTGAGAGTTTCTAATTCAGCAGACCTGGGGTGAGGCCTGGGACTTTGCATTTCTAACAAGTTCCTTACCCATCCTCCAAGACCCCTTTCAAGTTTCTTTTCCATGAAGCCGTTCTAAGTATTGCAGTTCCAGCTTGGTTCTCCCCTGTTCTACCCCGGGCTGTCCCATGGTTGGTGCTCCTGTGTAACGCCCCCCCCCCCCCCCGGTGAGCACTGCCGTGGCTGCCTGGACTGCTCTCTTGGGCAGGATGCTGGAGTCACATCCTGGCTCAGGGCAGAGCGCCGGCACTTATTCACGTAGGTGTGGACAGGGAGGAGGCAGCGTGCGTAACAGATATTTGTCATCCCTGACTTAGAGACTCTACTGTATTTTCTGGGTGCTGGGCTTGTCTTTACAATTAAATTCTACACTTCTTGATGACAGATGCAATGTCTTTTACTGCTGTCTCTTCTGTAGTATTTGGCTTAGAGCAAATCACCCTGAGCTCTGAGTCCTCTGTGCACAAGGCTGTCTGTGTCCTGTTCCTTTGGACTTTTGAAGACTAGGACAGCGCTGCCAGGCTGTGGCGGTGGCTGCAAATCTTCTTAGCTCAATCAAATAATACTTTTCAAATACTGGAGGAATATCCCTCAAGTTTTTGTTCTGGTCACAATTTAACAGCTACAGACATGAAGCACTTTCAACTTAGTTTACGTCATCGACACGCTGTGCACTATTTCCTTAAGTCCAGGCATCCAACAAACCATTAAGTCAGGCCTCAATTTGCAGTGTTTGTCAATTATGGTGGTCCCCAAATCTTTCTGCCCTGTTAATGTCAGTCTACCAGAGTGACCCCACGGAATGTGGACCTGGGAAGAGGTGCGCAGCAGCACACCTCTCGACAGTTTTTCCACCATGCACATAAAGTGGATGGAAATAAACTCAAAGCACAAGTAACTGTGAACTTATTAGGAAGTGATGGGTTTTGAGTATTTTATTGATTGTTCCTAAGTGTTTGCATGACTTAATTATGAGTGATGGCCATGTGTAACACCTAGTTTGCACAATTCCTGAAACTTTAACAACTGGTCCTCACGAAGTTCTCTTTAGCGCACCACTGAGGGAATTGGTATAGATGTGCAAAAGTTAGGACTTCTCTGATTGCAAGTCATAAAAGCTTAACCTAAATTGCCTAAGCCAAGAGGGATTATTTTGCCTCACAAAATTTAAAGCATAGAGAAGGGTAGGTAGGTCTGGCTTCAGGCCAGATGTCATTAGGACCTGTTCTCTCTTTCTGTCAGCTTTTCTGTCCTCTGTAGGATGTCCAGATGCCTGCCTACAGCTCAGACCTCATTGTCCCAGGTTTCAGTTGTCCTGAGAAGGAGCGAAGGCTTGGCCTCATTGGCTCTGATTATGGTCTTTGGCTCTGAACCAGGCTCTGGAGTGGGGGCGGTGTGAGGCTCTCTGCTATGGTCTGAGTTGTCTCCCTCCACCCTCAGTTCATATGCTGAAATTTCAACCTCCAGTGTGATGATATTTGGAGATAGGGGCCTTTGGGATTCAGTTAAGTTTAGCTGTGCCCATGAGGATAGGGCCTTCGTGATGAGGTTAGCACCTTTATCAGAGGAGATGAGAGAGCTTCCTCTTTCTGCCATGTAAGAATGTAGTGAGAAGGCAGCCATCTGCAAGCCAAGAGGAGAGTCCTCATGGGGAGCCAAACCAGTTGGTACCTTGATCTTGGACTTCCCAGCCTCCAGACTGTAAGAAATAAGTTCTTGTTGCTTAAGCCACTCAATCTATAGTATTTTGCTACAGAATCCCAGACTGAAGAAGACTCTCCTTCTCCAGGCTCACCCTGGCAGCTTCACCCAAGCATCTGGACAGAGAGTGGAGTGGGGTTTCCTCAGAGGAAATTCCAGGTATCATTACCAGAAGGGTGATTGGAAGCAGACAGCAAAGCAAACATCCATGGTAATCTCTCTCTCTCTCTCTCTCTCTCTCTCTCTCCCTGGACAGAAGGAATAGTATCTTGGCTTAGAGGGTTCAGGTATCAGGGTAGCCTTTCTGGAAATATGATTGGATCATTCCTTTTGTGTATAAGTGGGGGGAAAATAGGAGAGGAAAGAATGGAAACCCAAGGGGGGTGGCGACAGTCCAAGTAGCTCCATGATTTGGGGGTTTGCTTTTGATGGCATTGAAGGTAGGCCACCTCACAATGTGCCACTCTGGCATGTAGATTATTTCAAGCTGAAGAAAATCAAGGCCTGAAAGACTCAGGAAGAGCTTTTTACCTTTCTCTTAACTGCCTAAAAGAATTTAGTTGGGGGTTCTGGTCTCAGAGAGGGCTATCACCAGAGATAACCACCAGGAGTCTGGGCTAGATGTGATAGGCTAGGAGGAGTTTGGAGGGGCCTGTTTGTTTGAACTCCTCTCTGTGTTCCATTATCAGTTCATGGCACAATACACACATTTTTTTTTTTTTTTTTTACCAAATGTTTGCTATTCCCATCTTCCTGTGGATTGTCTTACTTCCCTTTGGAAACCAAGATCCCTTCCCTCTTCTCCTTGGCTTAGGAGCTTGTCTGTCATTTAGCCTAATAGCTTCAGGGTTCCTGTTTGTAGAAAATCAAATTTATTTGTTTTTCTCCTGTTAATCTGTCTTATGTCAATTTAATTATCAGGCCAGCTAAAGAACCTAGAAGGGAAAAAGAAAAAGGAAAAGTGTTCCTTCCCTACACCTCCTACCAGGGAAGCATGGCAAGATGTTTCTGGCAAAGAGGACTACTGAGAATTTTGTTCCAGCAGTCCCTGGGTTCAAAACTTTGCTACTTGGGTGAGAAGCTTGTGTCCAGGAATGGAAGCTCTAAAAAGAAGTACTTTTGCTGGGGGAGTATCTTGCTGGTACTAGGAGCATCTTGCTGAGGGTTCAATGTGAATTCTAGACTGACCAGCCTTCACACCACTCCTAAAGACCTATCACTATTAGGCCAAGAGAAGGCCTTTAAATTTGGTGTGTGAAGTTATGTAGGTGCCCAGAAAAATGAATGCAATGTGAAGATCACAGCCAATATCTCCACTAGGAAATTTTGGAAGAAAAACAGCTGGGGTTAGCAGTGGGCAGGTATGGATGCAGCTTTTTATATGAACTTCTAAGGAGGCGAAATGGAGAGAAATTGAATGGAACCAGATGTTGGGCTATCTGTTCCAGCCTAACGACTTGGTTCTTCAGGGTCAGTCAGGGCCATGGGTACAGGAGAGAATGCCAGGCTTCCTGGCTAGTATCAATTCCAAAATTCTCTATATCTCTGGAGGTCAACAAGACATTGACTTGGGGTTAGCCCTGTACTTTGAGGTTTCTGTGCAGTACAATGGGGCCAGGAGAAACTGGTCATATGCATGTAGGATATACGATACAGTGAGAATCTCCTATATATGCTGGGCACTGTGCCAGAGGTTACACACACACACACACACACACACACACACACACACACACCATCTTGTTTGATTCCCTCAACTACTCTGTATTACAGTCAGTTGTCCACATTTGCAGAAGAGGAAACAGGCTCAGAGGCCATAGTTATATAGCTAGTAAGTGGCATTGCTGGGCTCTAACTCAGATCTTTCTGACCTCAGTGGCAGTGTTGATTCCCTCCATGTGACGATGAGCTGTAGATGTAGCAGCCCTTGGCTGAGCACTAATCATAAATAAAATCATCACTTTAGCTATTCTTGAGGGCAGGGTTGTGTCTTGTTCACAATCATACCCCCAGTGGCTAGTGGTGAAAGTTAAGAAAATACAGGATTGCATATACTTTTCTTAATGACCCTTGGCATAGGCATTTAAAAAAATTCCACTTTAGAAAAGAGGAAACTGAATGTCAGAGAATTTAGATACTTTTTCTAAGTCCTCAGAGACTGCTACTCAGTCTCAGGTTTGCATGAATTCAAAACTGATGATCTTTACATTTCTTGGTGTGTCTCCACCCTTGACCTGCCCTGTGCTGCTCAGCTTCTCTCTCCACAGGGAACATGCAAGCCAAATGTGGATGGGGAGAGGGTGGCTATGGTGGTGGGATGTGCACAGTTTGGCAATGAGAGAAGCCAAAAGTAGACCAATAAGCTGGATTCAGGCTCGGGCCCTACTCCATTTTCAGTTGGAGTATCTGTTTTATTTATTCTGATTTATTAGGATTTCTTTTTTTCCTCTTATGGGAGATTTTTTTTTTTTTACTCTCAAGAACAGCAAATATTTCATGCAGAGAAAATATATTCAGAGGTATCTTTGGTTTCTAAAGTTAACATTTAACTTATTAAAATTATAAATTCAAAGACTTAGTTTTTCCTTAAAGGTCGATTTACAAATCTTATTATTCTATTTATAAGTTTAGTAACTGTCAATTACTTTTAAGGGAGACTTTGATTAATAATTAGACCTATTTATAGACTTACATAACTCTAACCTTTTTAAACACCGTTTATGAATTGAATATTTTAATCTCATTTGAAGTCCTTCAATATCTTAACAAAATAAGCTTTCTCAACTTCTAAGTAATGCTTTTAAATTTTAATAAAATAAACTTAGACAGACGGTGATTCTTGAAGTACTCTTAACTATTCCAATATCGTATATAACCTTAGAAAGATTACACTGAAATATACAAGTCGAAATTACTCAGACATTTCAAATTGGGATTTTTAGTTCAGGTATATTTTATAATAGGGCAAACAACTTCTTTTGAGTACCAAAAAATTGGTACTCAAATAATACTCAATTTTTATACTACCAAATAGGCAAAGGTTTATTCTTAATACATAGATATTAATGTGCTAAGTGTGATTCTCATAAATGTTTCTATTCTTAATTCTCAATTTTTCCAGAGTTGAAAGATGCTTATCCACTAAGGAAATAATAATGTGATCCTAAGCAATTTGGGAAGAATTCAGAGATTTTAGGATTGTAGCCTAGATTCTTGCCTGCCCTATTTATAGCCCACAGCAGGACTTCATCCTGCTACAGGTGGTCCGGCTTGCATACAGGGCTGCACAAACTGGTGTGGCCACACAGCTACTTACAAGGGTTATCACTCCTGCTTACACTCGTTTATTCCACTAAGCCCTGTCCAGACCACTCAGAGAAGCCTGCAACTTCTACATGAAGTTGCTACATGACTCAATTTTGCTTTCCTTTGTCTAGGATGTATTGATTTCTTTTCCATCTAGCTCCAATGACTGTCGACATTAATGGAATTCCATCTTCTTTCCATAGTCTTCCTGACCAGTAGGACCACACAATTCATACAGTTATTAAAATGATATCCAATTACATCTTGCAAATCTCACAGCTTCTAAGGTGGAACACCTGACAATTTTACAAAGGGTTCTATTGTTTAAAAGGATGTTTTAAAACATAACACTGGTGGAGTCCTCGAGGTTTAAGAGAAAGAGCAAATATTTTGGGAGCACCTGGTATGAGCCAAGGACTTTATGTACATTATTTTATTTGTCCTCCAACACCCCTTCAAAGTATTTATTTTTATCCCTGTATTCAAATGAGGAAGCTGAGTTCATGGTGTTTGAAGTTTCTTGAGGCCAAATCGCTACTAAATGATAGAGCTCGGACTAGATTTTAGGATCCAAAGTTCAGGATCCTTCCACTCTGCTACTTTTCTGGGTTTTGAAGGGTTTATTACCTGGCTCTCTGAACAATGGGGTAGTCTCCTTGCCTCTGCACCTTGATGACAAAAACTTTCTAGTGTAAACCTAGTCTTTCCAGACAGTTGCAAGGCTCAAAAGCAATATCTGTTCTCCTTCCCCTCATGTTCCTTAAACCACCAAGATTAAGATTTAAGATTTCCAAGGATTTTCATGACAGCAGCAAATTAAGGGCAAGCTATAAGACTCGTTACAGCCACAGTCTTGGGCCAATGTTCCAAGGGTCCTGAGAGGTTTGTATGATTCAAATCCCAACCCCAGCTGAAGGTGATGAGGTTCAGGTGGCCCCAGAATGTGTCACTTTGGCATGTGGATTATTTTGAGCTGAAGACAATCAAGGCCAAGCAGACTCAATAGCTTTTACCTCCCCTTTAACTGTCTAAAAGAATTTAAATAGGAAGTCTGTGCTAGGAAGAGAGCTATTACCAAAGGTAACCTTGTTTCCCCCCCACCACATGAGAAGACTTCTCCGTATGATATGGCAAACATTTGTTTACCAAACATTTGCTCTTCCCTTTTTCCTGTAAATTGTCTTCCTTCCCTTTGCAGACCCAGACCACTATTTCCCTTCTACTTGGGATGGCATATAAGCTTCAGTTACCTGCCAAGGGATAGAGCCTCTCATCTTTGTGGGGCTCCCATAGGCACATAATTAGAGTTGTTTTTCCCTTGTTAATGTTTTATGCCAAGTTAATTATTAAATCAGCCAAAAAAATTGGGAAAGGAAGAAAGAACAGTTTTTGTCTTCTACTGTTTTGGTGCCTAACATAGGGGTGTCCAGGGGCTGGCCAGTGCTCACTTCAGGGCTGCTACAGGGGAGGGATCCTGGGACCTCTGACAGAAGCTAGCAGAAGGTAAGAATTCTTACCATGTCAGCCTCCTGGATCCCTGTCTGCGGGGTCTGTTGGAGGTGAAAGAGGTGATAAGCCTTTCCTTTTTCTAAATTTAGATTGGCCGAAAATATTTGTGTGAGCTAGTTACTTGGATATAGGGACTCTGGTAAAGATTCATTAGGAGTACTCTTGATTTCTACTGATCCGTTCATCTCAGAAATGATCATTGTTTTCTTTTGTCTTTGTCTTTTGTGACATTTGTCAGGAGAAAAACCACAGGGTAGAAAGCAGGCATAGATCCTAGAAGTCTGTTGTTTGAGCCAGCCTCACAGACTGGTGAGTTCAGGGTTCTCACCAGAAGGGCATCTGTTTAGATGGACTCTGTTGTGGGTTCCCTGTGTAAAAACCATCTGAGTTTTTCCTTTTGCCTTGTTCTATGTCCTGAGAACTTGGCTCTGTGACCAGTGAGAATATTGTCTCTGGTCTCTGCCATCTGGGAGTGTCCATACTGGTGTGCATCTGGTGGCCAGGCAAGTGGTCAGGGGTTCTGAGATGTGAAGTCACAAACAGCATTTTTAAATGTTGTTCAGCTGTGCCGGCTCTCGGGGGAGTTTGTCTTGAGGGGTCCCATCCATAAGGGCCTTTGTTGTCTCAACCTTTGTTGTCTTGTTAATGGTGGGAAAGCCCTGTTCCTGTAGTGGCTGCCTGGTGTCACAGATTAGCAGGTCTGTGGTGCCTCCGCGCTTCGGGGCCAAAATTTAACTTGAAGATAGAGTTTGGGATGCAGAGAAACAATAGCTTTATTGCTTAGGCAGGCAAAGGAGGCTGCAACAGGTTTTGGCCTTCAAAACCTGCAAGTCCTCCTGGAGGAAGGGACTGGGGGGCTTTATAGGGAAATATAGGTTCTAGCTGATTTTGACAGGAATTGTGTATGTGCTACCACCAGCTTCCTTTGTCAAGTCTTTAGGGTGGAACCGGGTTGGGTTCTTGAAACAAAAGGCTAAGAAGGGAGGAGCAGAGGTTTGTGGAAGAGAGGAAAAAGATTACTTTAAAATCAAGCTTCACTGAAGCATTTGATTTTTGTTCAGTTTTATGTTTTTAAGTGATTTCAAAGGCATCCCACATTCCCAAGAGACTGTTTTCTCTACACAGTTCTTGTCATCGGTGACAACAAAAGCCTTCAGTTTCTTAGGTTAACTTTGAGAGCGAACTTTCCAGATCTTGTGAGGGCTGCATCTCTTGCACTTTCTTGTGGGACACCTCTTGTGCTCTTGGTTAAGCCATAAAAAGGCTTATGGGTTTGAGTTACTACTGAGGTTAATAAACTCTACTTGTCAATAGTCAGGGAATGGGTCTTTTGCATTGAGAAGGCTCCTATATGTGAAAAAAAAAATTTTTTTTTAGAGAGCATTCATTTTAAACATCATTTTATTGGTATCTATGGAAAGACCAAATTAAAAAGTGGATACAAAGAAGTATAACGGCTAGCCTTGGGGGCTCCCTTAACTAGGTGAAAAAGCAGAAATTAAATTTAGAACAAAATTAAAGTCCACATCCAATGTAAATTCTTCTTTTTAAAGTCTGGCCCCATCTCAGCAAATTCCCATAACTTCCCAAATTCCTCCACCTTTCCCAGAAAATTCTTACACACTCCACTGCCTGTTTTAGCTTCCCTTTTGCTACAAGATTTACACAGAGCACTCCAGCCTAATCTCTAGGCCCAAGGTATGCATTCTTTCTCTGTTCTTTAAAGATGTAAATCTTACCATGTCTTTGAAATGTAAACACCTCCTGAGGTAATTAAAACTCTGCCCAGACTGAAAAAAAAAAAGGGGGGGGGGGAGTTGGGGAGGAAGAGGTCTTTTAAAAATACAAATGCTAAATAGTCTCTCTTGCCCAGATTCTAGATCATGGCCTCCTAAATATCACCTGTCAAGAACAATACAAATACAAACAACACAGTACAAATCTTAAAGTCTTCACCACATGTAGTAAAAAGCTTCAGCCATCTGAGCACATAAATGTAACTTTACTCCAACCAGTACTTATGAACTAGTGAGTTTTATATTCATATATACCTGATTCATGGCTGAAATTTTAAAATGAAAGAAAATCCTGAGATTTTCAAGAGTGATCTAAGTATGATTGTTAAGAACAAGTGAATTAAATAGATGTAAATGAAATAAATTTTAGGTGAACTTTATAATTGTCTTATGGATGTGTATTCGAAAATAGTTATCCAATTCTCTTTGGTGACTCCCACAGAGAAGAGTTTTCCTAAGGTGGGATCCCTGGGTGGTGCAGCGGTTTAGCGCCTGCCTTTGGTCCAGGGCGCGATCCTGGAGCCCTGGGATCAAATCCCACATCGGGCTCCCGGTGCATGGAGCCAGCTTCTCCCTCTGCCTGTGTCTCTGCCTCTCTCTCTCTCTCTGTGTGACTATCAAAAAAAGTTTTCCTAAGGTAAATTAATCGGTAGAATTTTATTGATTATCTAGATCATTTCCAAATAAGATAAAATACTAAAACATTAATTACTAAACATAAACTTTCTTTTACAGAGGAACTGGAGATATTTGGGTCCATTAGTAAAAACAGTCTGTGCTATACTGAAAAATTTACTATGGGAAAACATATCTTTTTAGAAATTATAAAAAGTGCTCATGAATTTACCAAGCCCCAGAATGCTAATGTTAAAGACAGTTCATAATCATTTGTTTTTAAATTCTCCTAAAAATCAAGGTTCTTAAGGGTTAAAATTCTAATATATGTAATTATAGGTGCTAGAAACAAGGGACACTTCTCCAAACACAAGGAAAGAAAGATGTGTTTTCAGTGACAGAAGGTATAAGGAATGGAAATGCATTTTTATTGAGGAAAAAGTAATATTTTCCTACAGAAAGGCTAGTTATTTCAAAATGAGCAAGAGGAAAAACAGGACAAAATCTGAATGTAAAAAAGAAAGTTGTAGAAGGTTTGTGGAAAAGGATTCTTCGGAAAGGAATTTTAATGTGTGGTCAAGCTGGCTAAGATTAGAATAAATCTAAATAAATTTTTAAACATTTAAAAAACTTTTTATTATTATTATTTTTTAAGATTTATTTATTTATTCATGAGAGACATAGAGAGAGAGGCAGAGACATAAGCAGAGGGAGAAGGCTCCTCACAGGAAGCCTGATGTGGGACTTGATCTCAGATCCTGTGATTAGGCCCTGAGCCGAAGGCAGACACTCAACCACCGAGCCAACCAGGTGTCCCATAAACATTTTTAAAACTTTTTTTTTACACTTTTTTAATAATTAAGTTTGAATGTCAAGAATAAGCTGCTACAAAAATTAGAATTTAATTTTCTCTCTATTAAAAAGATAGTTTCTTTAATTATTAGTGTGCTCTTGATAAGAGATTATAAAATGTTTTTCGTTCCCCTTTAATGTAATATAAGTCGAAGACAAAGATTTTGTGTCTTGTCTAAATAATTCCCTCTGTGTCTTTGTCAGATCTTTGATTACTTAAGAAGGCTAAGTCTTCTCTATTATAACAATTTTTTAGACAACCATTTAATTTTTTGTATTCGCTTGTGAAATCTTTTTTACTATGGTTAAATGGATAGCTAAGTATTGTTTCACAGCGACCTATGATCCTATTTGAACAAAGGTTAAAAATCTCTGATATTTTTGACAAATTTCCCTCAAATTAAATTCCAGTGAAGTGTTTTGGCCTTGAGCTAACTTTGTAATTTTATACAGGTACCCTGGAAAATTGCAAAAGATTTGTTCTCTCTCCTTATTTAAAACAAACAACAAAAAAAAAGGGAAGATGTTAAAATAGTATTTGATATGTTAAATTGCATGAAGGTTTTATCAAACAAGAAGTAATACTAAGCCTTCTTCATGTTGTATAGGTATATAAGTATTCTATAAATTGTATGAAATTCCTAGAAATATGTTATTAATCGTAATTCTAGCTATTATCTTAAAATGTTATGTTTCACAGAAATAAACAAATCTCCTTGCCAATTGATTGTAATAAACTCTCATCATGTCTTTAATTATGGCCATTTTTAGGTCTTTGATCACTTACAGATTGTTATTGTTTCACTCTGAAACTTTTGTGAATGTGTTTGCAAAAGTGCTTCAAGAGGACTCATGAAAAGTATTCTAGAATACAAGTTTCTGCTAACTTTAAAATAAAAAAAAACTGAACTGGGTAAGAATTTCTAGAACTGATGGAAAAACTGAATTCAAGTAGAACAAATATTGATAACACGGGACTGAATTGAGAAGGAGGATTATAGTTTTTTATGACTTTTTTGTTTGAAAGACTGCTGATGTTTAAAAAATGATTTGTGGTGCAGATGGTGTCGCCTGGGTCGTGAGTTGCTGCACGAGGGTATTGAAGGTGTGGTGAGAGACAATGGCCAAGAACAAACTAAGAGGACAGAAGTCCAGGAGTGTATTTCATATAGCCAGCCAAAAAAACTTTAAGTCTAAAAACAAAGCAAAACCAGTTACCATTAATCCTAAGAAGATAAACATTGTGAATGATGAAAAAGTTAACAGAGTGAATAAAGCTTTTGTAGATATACAAAAGGAACTTGCAAATTTCTCAAAAGGCCTTTCCCCTGAACCTCTGCAGAAACAGCTGATTCCTCAGCAGTGTCATGAAAATGAACCAGTTAATGTTGATGAAGCAACAAGATTAATGGCTCAGTTGTAATACACTGGAGATACATCAAATCCCCCCCAAAAGACCAATAAATTAAATGTTTTATACAAAAATAAAAAATAAAAAAAATAAAAAATGATTTGTTTTTTTCTAGATTGAAGGAAATCTTTCTTTTAGGCAACAGGCTTGAGCAATGGGAACCTGAGTAAGGTAAAAGAGCCCACAGTAACCACAGGTCTGAATGCAAACAAGCTCATTAGGCCACCCACCTCCAAATATCCGTATGTCCTAGCTGACAAGTGGGCTACTTGGAATTATGCACAGTACCAAAAAAAAAAAAATAATAATAATCCATGTGT